GCAGCTGTAGCTGTTTTTTTCTGCAGCCTCTCACCCTGGGTTTCTAGGAGGTCTGGCCCACTGTGGGCCTCTGATAGGCCTGCCAGCCCCTGGGCTGCAGCCACACTGAGAGGTTGAGAAGCACATGCTGCCTTGAGACTTGTGTCTGCTAGTTTCAGCTGCTGCTGACTGTGCTTCCCCTTAAGGACCTCTGTGTCAGAGTGGGAAAGGAGCCTATTATTTAAACAGAGAGAAGGTCTCTAGATGGGATCCCAGACCCTGCTCCTGTGAATAATTTGTCCCTGCTCTTTCTTGCTCTCAGGCACAGTTTGTGATTGTCTCTCTCCACATCTCCCAGTATTACTTCATGCCCAGCTGCCAGTACCAGTTCCCCATCTTCATCCACCTCATCTGGATTTATGGGACCATCTTCTTCATCCTCTTCTCCAACTTCTGGTACCAGTCCTATACCAAGGGCAAACGGTTGCCCAAAGTGGCTCAGCAAGCAGCTCAGCACAATGGTAGCAGCATCCATGAGAATGGCACTGTCACCAATGGCAAAGTCAAAGCCAACTAGAGGGCAAACCCCTCCCAGAGCCAATGAGAGCCCCGGGGCAGAGGCAGCTGGAACCTGTTCCCCTGCTCCTGGGTGCCACTAGCCAAGTCAAGTGCCTACAGACTGTTGTACCCCTGTGCCCAGCCCTGCTGTCCTCTGTCTGCATGCTCAGCCCCTCTGCTCTGAGCAGCCATGGGCAAGTTCTCCTGCTCCTGGGAAAGCTTGTGCTGTTTCTCAGTGTTGCTGAGCAGAGAGGCAGCTGCCTGCATCATAGCTGCAGGGCTGCAGTCCCATTCCAGTGTTTCCAAAGGAACTTCCCCCAAGTGCCTACATCTAGCCCTTCTGCCTGGGGGCCATTTCCTTCTGAGTAGGACCAAAAGAAGAGACTGGTCCCTGTCCTGGTGCCCTTTCCACTTCCCTGTCTCATCAGAGCCTGTGTGGATGAGCAAACTTGTCCCTGGTTGCTTGCTGCTGCCAGCCCAAGTGTGAGTGCTCCCGCTCTACTGTGCCTTGTGCCACCATGTTCCATGCCACAGTGCTGCATGCCCCTTCTGGTCCCTGTGCCCAGGTGGGGGGCCTTGCCCTGGCATATCCATGCTTGGGTGTGGCTGTGGAGAATGTAGGGGCAGTGTGAATGGGACTTGAGGGCCCAGCCTGCCCAGTACACTACCCATGCCCTGTGCTGAGTACATAGCAGGGGTTGTGATAGCCTGAAATGCCTTCCCCACACAATAAGCCCAGGTTGCCTTGCCTTGCTGTGCCTGGGCTTGGTGCTTGGTGTGTGCTTTAGCCACACTTTCCTGATCCTGTAATGGCAGCTGGTGGCTTGCTCCAGAATGGGGGAGGCCAAGCTCAGCCTTGCCTTGGATGACTTCCATTCCTGCAAACTTAAGACTTGAGCAATAATTGCCCCTAGAATTGGCTCCTGGGCTCTTCTGCTTGGGACCAGCCCTGCTCTGGCTCAGGATGAGCACAGCAGAGGATGGTTGTAGTGTGCCCTGCTGTGGTGTAATAGTGAGCACCTCTTGCCTCTGTGGATCCAGCTGGGCCTGGGTGAAGGTGTGCTCTGCCCTACAGCAAAGCAGTGCAGCAGCTCTCCTGGGCCTGGTACCTCTCACCTGTTCTGGCTGTAACCAAAACCATGTTGGTGGCCTTGAGGATGAGGTGAAGGAGCCAGGCTCTATCAGATTGGGCTGCTCTTCTATCATAAATAAACAAACAGAAGGAGAAATGGCTTTGCCCTCTTATTTTTTCCTGGCTTGCTGTGTTCAGAACCTGTTCCAGGTGTGTGGTCCTGCCCAATGTGGTTGGAGGCAGTGCTGGTGTAGCAGGTTTGTGTGTTTTGGGGGGAGAGAGTGATGGCAGTGTGCTGAGGAAGGAGATTTTTTTTTTTTTTTTTCCAGTTGTTGATAGAGCCCTGCTGAGGGCAGGAAATGTGTTAAGGCTGCTGTTGTGAAAGTGCCTCCACCCTGTAAAAGAATGGCTGGGGTGGAGTGTGGGTGTGGGCTGGGACCTGGGCCAGCTGCCCAGAAGCTGCTGCTTTTCAGAAATTTCGTGGAGCTAAGGTGCTGCAGAGCTGGGACTAGAGGTCTTGGAAACCCAGGTGGTGGAGAAACAGCAGTCTGTTGCTTTCTGTATCTACTGAAGCTAAAGCTGCTGCTGTCTGTGAATGCCCCTGCAGTGTGGATCTGCAAAGAACACGGATGAGGGGCTGGTCAAAGGGAAGGTTAAGTTGTGGCTGCCTTACTCTTTCTACAACAGTGTATCTTCCTGGCTGGGCTCTGCCCTCCCTACTGTCTGAGACAGTCTGGCTTCCTTTCTGTGCTGTTGGGGTTCAGTACTGCCTTCCCAGCATCTTGTGACTGGGGCTGCAGGTGACAGTCCAGATAAGGTGGAGCTTTTCCCATCCAGCTGCCTCCTCTGCCCTAGCTGGTTCTTCGTAGACAGGACTGCCCTTCCTTTCACCCAAAATAGCAACAATACTTCAAACTGCTTCTGCTTGGTATTTTAAAATGGTTATTTCCTAGATATGCCCTGCTCTCCCTTCTTCCAATTGTTCCTGTTAATTGTGATCCTTCCATGGGCTGATAATTTATACACTGTCACAGTCAGTCTAGGCTGCTGCTCCAAACTGAATTAACACCTTATATGGCAGTTTTTCCTGGGCTTGCTGGGTCAGTGCCCAGCTCCTTCCTCTGCGCCTCCCCTCTCCAGGGCAGTTCAGGACCAGTATGGGGCCTGCACTATCATCACCCTCCAGTAATGCTCAGAGGACTTTCAAGGGGCACATAATGCACAGCTTCTTGGGGTGGATATGCACTAAGGAGAGAGGCAGGACAGGCTTTGCCTGGGAAAGATAAACTTATTACATGAGAGTGAAGAAACACCACCAACTTTCAGGCATGTAAAGCCTTCCTTCCAGGGAAAGCATTAATCTGCTGTGGAGCCAGAGAGACTGTCTGCACTCACTGTCAGCATTAAGCTGCAGGGGTGTGGGGCAGGGCTTCTCTGCTAGCAGCACAGCTCTGGGTAACAGCCAGACTTTGCATATGTGGGTTCCTGCCCCACACAGCTGCTGTTTGAGGATTTGCTTCTGAAGAGGAAGGACAGCTTGCTCTTCCTTCCCTGGACCTCCCCAGCTCTTCCACCGATGGCCGAATAGGGATGCACCAACAGCCCCGTGGGACAATGCCTGGCTGTATTTTTACTTTTTTTTTGAGACTGTGTCCCTATCTCAGTAATTGACGGGGGTACGTGGGCTGGCCTTGGCACAGTGCAAGTTGGTGCCAACACTTTCCACTTGTTTCAGCTGGCTTAAAGCTGAGGCAGAGCAGGAGCCTGGTGCCAGGTACAGTGTGGTACTGTGCTAAGAGGAAGGTGAAAACAGTTAATAATAATCCACCCTCAGCTAATAACAGGCTGAGGGGAGGCACAGGCTTTGTTGAACTGTTTTGCACAGGCCAAGGTGCTACTAATCAGCTGTGCAGTGTCCTTGGCACCCCCTGGCTGTGCTGGTGCAGCTATAGGACAGGATTGATGGGTCTGGGGCAGCCCACAACCTCAGACAGTTTGGCCCCAGCATTCAGAGCAGTGGCATGGCAGCTGTGACCCTGCTGGCTCTTACTCTGGTAAAGGCTCAAATGTGCTCCCTGAAACTTGCACCATCACAACTAAGCCTGGAAAAATGCATTTTTCAAGTGCACGGGAGCCAAACTACCAAATGACAGCTGAGCCCTGGTGCCTGCTTCTCTCCATGCAGCCTCAGCTTGGCACCTAGGTTTCCCCTCAGCAGGGGGAAGAGGACAGATCAGGGCTGCTGAAGAATACATGACTAAGCTGTGCATGGTATTGTTGCTTTGGGAGCTCCTCACATAACGTCCAAGCTGGCTGTGGCAACATAAACAGCTTTTGTTTTGCATGTGCCATTGCCAGCCCCTTTCTGGCCTTTGGGGTGATTACAGCTGTTGCTGTATGTTTTTAGCCCCTGCTTCCCCTTTTTTCCAATAGCATTTGGCTCCTAAATTCAGCACTAAGCTTGCTGCAAAAATAGCTATTCTACCCCAGCACTCTTAAGGGCAGGCAGTGTTGGCTGCAATGCAGAGGCTGTGGGTGTGGCAGAACAAGGCCAATTGCTGTGTGCAGGCACCACTACCGCTGAGACTGCCAAAAACACATCCCCAGCCTGCTCTAGCATGGGTGATCACAGCTGATAGTTGCCTGCAGAGGCACAGTAAGGCCCACCAGGCTAAGATGCGTGCTCTGAAGTGCCATATCTACATGATGCTTTAATATCTCCCAACAATGGTGCCTCCACCATCTCCCTGAGCAGCCTGTTCCAGTATAAAAATTCTTCCTAATATCCAAGCTAAACCTCCCCTGGTGCAACTTCAGGCTATTTTCTGTGGTCCTATCCTTGTTTACTTGAGAGGTCTACACCCACCTGCCTACAACCTCTTTTGAGGTCTCCCCTCAGCTTCCTCTTTTCCAAATATACATCCCTAGTTCCCTCAGCTGCTCTGCATATGACTTATTCTCTACACCTTTTACCATGCTCCTCCACCTCAATGTCCTTTTTTCAGTGAGGGGCCCAGAACTGAACACAGTGCTTGAGGTGCAGCCTCACCAGTGCTTGAGTACAGGGACACAATCACCTCTCTATTCCTGCTGGTCACACTATTTCTAATACAAGCCAGGTGCCATTGGCTTTCTTGACCACCTAGGCACGCTGCCGTGCTCTTTTTCTGCGGGCCAGTTTCCCAGCCACTTAAGAGTGGCTGCCCAAGCCTGTAGCATTGCCTGGGGTTGTTGTGACTGAAATGAAGGACCAGGACTGTGCTAGGATCATGCTGCCTGCACACTGGTCCTAAAGAACAAGAGCTCCACTGCTTGCCCAGATCCCAAACCTCAGGGAAGAAAGGCTTGGTTCTCTCAGCCCTGGCCTTTTTTATGGAGTCTGATGGAAGAAAAGTGAAGCAGTTTATTAACATTAAAAAAACTGTACAACAGTGTGTAAACCAAATTTTCCCCCCTCCCCACAACAGCCTTTTGCACTCATCGGATTCCTTGGTGAATGATGCTGCTTTTGGCACTGTTTGCCTTCTCTTTCTCCTTCTTCTTTATAGGGTCCATCTCAAAACAGCGCCAGAGCCGCAGTGTTTCATCAGCAGCTGCTGAGGCCACTGTTGCACCATCAGGGCTCATAGTCAGGTTCAGGACTCTAGCAGTGTGACCTGAGAAGGAGGTGGGCAGTCAAGGGTGAGCTGACCTGGCCTCACCACATACCCTGATCCCACCACAATGGTCCAGTTTGCTCCCATATGCTCCCATGAGCACCAGCAGCTTGCCTAGCTGTCCCCACACCATGCTGTGGCAACATGACTTCAAACCCTAGGGATGCATGTGAAGCAATGGTCTGCCTTCAGCAGCTCACAGAGTGCCTCCATCTAGCAGCATGCCTCTAAACACCATTCTGCACCAGTGATGCTCCAGGGTAGACCACCAGTCTGCTCAATGCACCTGCCTTCAGCCTCTAGCAGCTTTCCCTTCCCCAGACAAAAGGCTCAACCTACCTCGCAGCTCAGTAACCTTGGCCATCGTTGGATACTTCCATACAACCAGCTGATTCTGTGCAAAGCCATGGCCTGAAATCAACTCCTTGTAGTTTGTTGACCACAAGATAGAACAGACCTAAAAAGAGGTAGTAGTGCAGGTAAGACAAGCTGCTTGTGCTGATACTCACCACCCAGAGATGAGCATGATCCTTCCCCATGCCTCTGGGCATCAGGAACCAGGAGTTTTGTATAGGTGTTCTACCAGAAAGTGTTTGTCTCCAAGCTGGTGTTCACTGCTCACCTGGGAATGGGCATCAACAGCACTGAGGCAGGTGCCAGAACAAACATTCCAGATGCGGATGTGTCTGTCACTAGTCCCTCCTCCAGTGGCAAGAACATTGGACTGCCATGGACACCATGCCACAGCCTGAGGGAAAAAAGGGGTACTTACACAAGAGGCAACTTGTGCACAGCTAGTGCTGCGTGTCTGCCTTGCACACAGACATGTGCCCACACCTCACACACAGCAGCCCTGCACTCACCTTGACTGCACCCTGGTGCTGAGTGAAGGTCTGTATGGGAGCAAAGTCTCCACTGTCCCCCTGGGTGGATGGCCAGATGTTCACCAGGTTGTCATTGCCACCACTGGCCAGGTAGCGGCCATCTAGAGACCACTTGAGTCCACACACCTCTTGTGTGTGGCCAGCAAGTGTGGCCACATGATGCTCAGCCACTCTGACATCATGGTGGTGGATGTGGCCAGTCCGTGCCCCACTGCAGAGAGAAGACTTTCAGGCTCAGGCTGACATTTTCACAAAAACCCCTTCTTGTGCTGTTGCAGTGCTGCTGTACCTGCTGCTTTCAGCCTGTGTTACCAGCATTGCTGGCCTGTTGGCTTGAGCAAAGCAGCCACAACAGCTCTTCACAACTTCAGCACAAAGGGCAAGGGAGAAAAGAGGCCTTCTTCCCACAGCGCCATCAGAACAGGCTGAGTAAGAATCCCAGGCCAGGACAGAAACTTGTCTCTCCCATCCCTAACCTACACCACTCACAGATCTAGGATAGGAATCTGCAACAGCTGGATACTGCCCTTCACCCACCCTCTGCTTTACCTGGAGAGGATGTAGCTGTTCCAGCTGAGGGACCCCACACGGGAAGAATGACTGGTCATATTGCGGAGACGTTTCTGCTGATGCATGTCCCATAGCTAGAGAAGAAGAGCAATAAGTTTTCCACAGAATGAGGAAACCCAGCCCTGTTGCCTTGCCCTCCTAGGAACCTCACTGCACAGGCTCTGGCATTCAGCCTTGTCAGTGTGGGAGCAGAGATCAATCTGTAACTCATTTCTACAGAACATAAACTAACTCCAGGCATCAGAGAACCCTCAAACCAGATAGCCTTGTTGCTGCAGTTGGTCACCAACCATGGCTAGACATGGACATTTCCACCCCACACCATTCAAAAAAAGTCACTGTGCATTGCATACTTCTTGTGCTAGGTCCCAAAGCCCACAGCTCCATCAATCTCTAGACACTTCTAGTTTTATTTCTGCACTCACCTGGACCTCAGCATTACTTGTGCCAACAGCAAGGTAGTTTCCTTCTTTAATCCATGACACAGAAGAAACATAATCATCTGGGTGGTCCATCTGCAACAGCTGGATTATCTCCCCAGAGACGTCATTCCATAGATAGACAGAGTTGTCCAGAGCCACTGCCAGGAAGTTCTGAGAGCTCCAGTCAATGAGATTCAAATCTACAGTTTGGAGGAGCAATGCAGGTCAGACTGTGCTTACCTGGAGAGCCCTGCCCTTCACCAGTGCTGATACATGAGGTGCATGTGCACACAGACACACATGTGCACAGACACAGGTAAGGGGCAGTGTTCTGGGTGGCACCATGCCCAGCTAGTGAGGTCAGGTAGCCTTGATCCAAGTCACTTACAGCACTCCAGACCATTGTCCCTATGATGCTACACAGGGACACTCCAGAAGTAGTTTGTGCCAAACAGCTTGGTTAGAGCTCCAGTTCCTCAGAACACACCACCCTGGGAAGCACACTCCAGTGCAGAATGATCTCAATGCCCAGCACCCAACATTGCAGCCTACTTACAGTAGTCATTGCGAATCTCTGGTGCGTCCAGGATCCGATCTGGCATTGAAGGAATATATCTGCTATTCTTCCTGCTGGATCCTGGTGTCAGCTTCTGACTGTAGAGCACTTTCAGGCTGTTCTGATAGCCTGTGTGCAGAGGAACAGATTTGTTAACCCAATTTACTGTTTACTCCTAGCTGAGCACTGCTCGCACAAATAGAAATCCATTCCAAAGACAATTAACTCCTGAGAGAAGAGGTAGGCTCAGAAGGTCTCAGTGAGCAACATGACTGGAAGTATGAATGGCTGAAACAGGGGGAGCTCCAGTTCCCTAATTCACAGAAACAAGTTTTAACTGACAAACACGTGGTTTTCTGTATCCATTATGTTTAGTGACAGCCAAGCTACAGAGTGCACAGGAGAGTTTGAAGCTTTTGTAGACCTCGGGAAGGTTTGCCACCTGCAGTACAAGTGAGCAACTGGCAGTCACTTTGATTTCCATAAATAAATTCATTATAGCTGTTATGCAGCCCCTCAAACTTGGAAATCTAAGGAAGGAGATTTCAGTGTGCATGTGAGCTCTGAGAAGCAGCCGGTTGATTTCTCATGTGTCCACACAGGGCCTCTGTGTTGCTGTTCCTTTGCCCAGATCTCTGCAGAGCCCACTCACACAGCCCATGTGTCTTACCTTCAGGAGCATTCTGTGGCTTTCCACTGAGGCGGAGGATCTTTGTCTCTTCTATATCAAAACCATTCAGATTCACTGCCCAGGCTTTCTGTTGCTCCTACAGAGAAAAATCACCCTCAGTGAGATGCATTGGAGACACAAAGCCCATGCTGCAGTGTCTCATTGCCAGTGGGAAAAGCCACAGCCACAAGGGACCAAATGCTTTATAAACAGATTTCAGAACACAGTGTACATGATCCAGAATAGCTCTCCATGTGGACATTGTCCTAGAATAGCTATCACCAGCAGTCTGACTGTGCACAGGCTCACAGCTTTGTGTCTGTAGCCTGTTAGATTTTAAATTCTCGCTAACCCAAAGTTGCATTTTGCTATCAGAAGCAGTACAGGCTAGAATGAGTGGAAGCAGAGGTGTAAGGTTCTGCTCTCTTCCCTGTGCCTAGGGAAATGTCCCTACAGAGCAGCTACACTCAGGCTCTTGTGTAGCAGCTGTGAACCAGTTTCATTCTCAGGCTCCTGAAGCCCAGAGCTGGAAGCAGCGATGGCTGGGGCTGTCAGCCCTATGTGCTCACTTGACACATCTTACAGTTTGCTTCTCTGTAAAGGCTAGAAAGGACTAGGTGTTTGGTAGTAATCATGATTTAGCAACAGCGCTCACCTTCTTGGTAGGTGACTCCTCAGCAGGGTCATTCTCTTTGGTTAGGAGGAAATTGGCCATCTCCATCTGCATAGTGCTACGGTTGGGAATATAGCGATCTCCTCCAGCCTTGCTTGGAGTGTTCTGGATTTTGGATCCAGATTTACCTGCATTCACATGCATAAATATTTTTTTTCAGCTATTGAACAGCTTGTATTCAATATTTGGAGACATAGCGAACCCAGCACTCTCCCACATCACACCTACCAGACAAGTTTCAGACAAGCAGGACTCAGAGAGCTCATGTCATCCCGTCACAACTAACTAATAGCTGTAAAACAGCTCTAAGCTCTGTTTGGAGGCTGCCAGGAGACAACTCCATGAATCTAGTGCAACAATTCCACAGTTCACAGATAGGGGAGGGTGCAAAAATACTGTTATAGTCAGTCAGCAGACAGCCCTACCCACGCCTGTCCCAACACACAGCCGGGGGCTCAGCAGTTGACCCAGCCATACTGCACAAAGCTTCGCCCACCTCATGCTCGGTGGGTGCCTCTGAGGAGCAGGGCAGTGTAACCCTCCTCCTCCTCCCTGACCCGCAGGCCGGCTGGAGCAGCCTGGCACAGAGCCCCCCGGCTCCAGGCACCGCCCCCCCGCTCACCGGGTGTTTTGGACGGCGTCTTGCTGGAGCTGTGGGAGCGATTGGCCGGCTTCATGGGCGACGGGGCGGTGGCGGGGCTGGGCGCGGGGCTGGCGCTCTCCTTGGCCTTGCGCTGCCACCGCGCGGGCGGCGCGTTG